GCCTTTTCTCGCCATCTACCATAGAAAGCAAGGAAACCTTCATCGTTGTCTTGCTTAAGCATTTCAAGTTCACATAAAGTTGAATTGAACTCTACTTTACTCTCATATTGGGTGATGAAAGCCGAAACTATATCTTCACATGATGTCTTAAACTTAGCATCTAGCCCATAGTACCACTCTCTCGCGGTTGGGTCTAGAGATAAAGGGAAAGTCAAAGTATAAAGCTTAGGATCAACTCCCTTTAAAGCCATGGTGCAGTAAAACTCATTAAATGGTTTTTTGGATTATTGGTCACCTTGAATAGTGGCAAGTCCATAGTTACGAACTTTTCTGGTAAAGTGAGTCCTGTATGAGGAGCAAACTTTTCTGCATCAAAGTACTTTTTCCCCATTGTGGAATGGAGAACAAGCTTCTCTAATGACTTCTCTTTTATAGATAGTTCATCCATCTTTTGTTGCAAAGCAAAAGATTCGGCATTTTTCTTTTCAGCTTTTTCTAGCTTCTTAATTCTTCTCTCCTCGGCCTCTTGAGCCCTTTCCTCTCTCAAGCGAACAATCTCTTCTTGGTGTTGCTCTATGGTTGACATCGTTGTTGGACTAGAGAGAGTTCTTGAGGGAAGATGGTTTGAAAGGAGTGAATTGTTTGGTGGTAAACGTAGAATACGAGTGCCCGGGGGTCTTCGTTCCCAATCTTGGAAACCGGCCCTAAAGGAAGTACGAAAGGTTAAGGAAATCGATACGCTTGTTTAAAAGACAAAAGGAAGAAAAAAAAGAAAGAAAAAGAAAAAGACACAAGATGCATTCGAATGGATAATATCACGTCTAACAATGATTAATAATGATATTGTCTGTACAAGTCAATTGTTCTTTGAGAAATCAAAAGGACTTCAAAACAGTAGATGCACGCAAATAACCAGGTTGCGTGCGAAAGGGACAATTATATGATACCCTTCGAATGTGACTCAAAATTACAAAGGGACAATTTTGCAATTGGGAACCTAACCAAACTAAAAAAAAGCTAACCTAAACACGTCGCATATAGTAATATAATCATACCATAAGCCAAGATTCACATAATGTCTTTCTTAAGGTCAAAAGCTTTGGTATCCAAAGGTATCATATCTTAAGAAACGATGCACAAATCAATCACTCAACGTGTTGACTCATGACATAGCCCTCCCAACATTTTGTTGGTGATATGGGTGGGATGATTGTTATTGATTTTGGGATAGAAGCATAATGTTGGCAACCCCTTGTCAATGAGCCAATCACCAAAGGTTATAGTGTGCTATTATTTATGCATGATGCAATAGTGATTGTTTGGTTTTTACTTTTGTGAAAAAGGAAGATATTATGCATTCAAGTCTCGCTCTCTAACTAGAGATTATCCAAGTTAATTCCCGTTACAACCCATAGGAAACCTAGTGTTGGAAACCTTGGACCATAATTAAAAATTGATCTTGTAACCTCTAAGTCCCCAGTGGAGTCGCCACTGTAAGGAGGGTGTGCCCATCATAAGCTAGGGATCCTACAACTTAAATGTCCATGGCCCTTTAAAAGCCTAGGACTTTACACTTGTTAGGGTTTAATAGGGTTTGAATTCCTGACTGTTTGGGGACCTTGAATTAGAATTGATTATATCATTACGCTTTTTTGTAAGAAACAAGTATGAGTCGCCAATGAGTTTTAGAAAAACTCATAAACCTCATTCATGCCTCTCTCTCTTTAGTAGAGTTCAAGGGATATTTAGCACGAATTGTAAGTTTACCCATGCCCAAATTGGTCTACGTGTACCAGAATGAGTTCGGGAGCGAGGATACTAAAATAACCTCCCCTTTAGGGGGGAATCGCTATCCTAGCCCTAGTAACCTCTACTAGCTCTTCCTTTTTTCACAATTTCATCACCAAATAATATATGCAACGTGATACCTAAAAGCTAAGTTAGTTGATTTTGTTTACAAGCATCAATCACGTAGGAATTACATTGCAAAAGTTGTTATTCTTGTTTAATCAATATTCGTGAAAGAAATGATAAATAAACAAGATTCGCCTTCACTAGTAGAAAAATGCAAAAAGCCACCGCTTCAAAATCCCCTTATGCCACCGGTTTTGAACCGTTGGTCATTTGGGGGGTGACAATACCTCCTTTAAAAGCCAGCGGTTCAAAACCGGTGGCAAAAACTATTATTCCCACCGGTTAACAGGTGGCATTATAAATTATTGTCACCGATTAACAAATGGCAATACTCATTTCCCGTTTTTTTTATAGTAAATTTAATGCCATACCGGTGGCAATACTTCCATGTAATATTTTTTTTATTCACTTGATATATAGAAAAATTAAATCAAAATAAAAATTTCCAACATCAAAATATAAATCGAGTATCATATTATCATTCAATATAATTGCAAACTTACAACATATAATAAAAAAAAACAATATAAATCAATATAATCGAAGTATCGAACAATTACAACATATAAATAAATAAAAAATAAAAAATAAAATTACAATATAAATAAAAAAATTACAACATCAAAATAAAATAAAAATAAAAAACTCATACAACATCTAAATCAATATTCCTAAATCTTGCTTCTTCGATTTAAGATCTAAATCAATATACCTGCATCAATTAAAACAAAATAAAATAAAATACATAAGCTGCGGAAAATAAAAATAAAAATAAATAACTCAAAACACTTTGCATAATCGATTACAATCATTAAAAAAAATCCAGAAAAAAAGCATGGACCCATAATTAAAATCGAAATTAACCCAGAAGATCGAATTAAAATTGATTAAAGTCAAATAAAAAATCGAATTAAAATCGATTTTAAAACTCAGAAAATTCGATTTAAAAAACCCAGAAAATTTCGATTAAAAACCCAGAAAATTCGATTTAAAAACCCATAAGTAATCGATTAAAATCAAATAAAAAATAAAAGTAAAATCGATTTTAAAACTCAGAAAATTCGATTTTAAAAACTCAGAAATATTCGATTTAACCCAGATAAATTAGTTTTAAAAACCCAGAAGAAATCGAATAAAATCGATTAAAATCAAATTAAAATCGATTTTAAAACTCAGAAATTTCGATTTAAAAAACCCAGAAAAATTTGATTAAAAAACCCAGAAAATTTCGGTTTAAAAACCCAGAAAAACCAAGAAGAAATCGAATAAAAATCGATTAAAATAAAATAAAGATCGAATTAAAATCGATTAAAATCGAATTAAAATCAAATAAAAATCGATTAAAATCAAACCCTAACCTCGATTAAAGTCGGTGTTACTCATGCATGTGTTCGTGGTGCTATTGTTGCAGTGGTGGTGGAAAAAATGGTGGTGGTGGTGGAGATCGAAGGAGAAGAGATTGAAGGAGATGAGAAAGAGAAGGAGGAGAGGGGAGAATGGATAGAGAAAGAGAAGGAGGAGAGGGGAGGGGAGAGAGGAGAGAGAAACGGCTGAGGACGAGTACGGTTTGCGGTTTATAAAGGGGCAAATTTTTTATATATATAAAAAGCCACCGGTTCGGTTTGAACCGGTGGCAATACTATCCTTGCCCTTTTTTTCCCACCGGTTTTTAAAAATCGGTGGCCATTGAGCGGTGCCTTTTTGCCTTTTTCTACTAGTGCTTGACTTAGGTGATCAATTAACAATTAATTATTTAATTCTATTCTTCTTAACGCAAGATACTATGTGGAATTAATTAATTAAAAATTTGTTTAAAGTGATCAAACAACACTAATTAATTAATTAAAGGTTATTTAAATAAGAAAACAAAGGTTATTGATCTAAGTGCTCGAGAATTTAACACTTCTCCTTGCTAGATCTTTGTTTAGAACACTTATGGACTCCTTGTTTGGAAACCTCCACCGTAGTAACATTGAAGGGGTGAGTGTTTAGGACAAGAGGGTTAAGAGTACACAAGTTCACAAAGTTTCTGCCAGAGTTTTAGGTTAATTTTTTTTCTGTTTCAGCCTCGTATTAAGCCTTTATTTATAGGGAATGTATGCATTTAGGATTTCGCGTATTTTGTCGCAGTAGGTGTCGCGCGCATCAGAATGGGTTGCGCGCGACAGCCCAGCGCAAGTCATTTAGATGCACTGCTCAAGGAAGCGCAACAAGATGTCTTGCGCGCGATATTATGGTAAGATTCAATTTTATGAAATTCTGAATCTTTCGTAAGCGCATCACTAGACGTTGCGCTGGGTGTCACGCGCAACCTTGTGAGTTGCGCGCGCCAGACCAGCGCAACTCATTGAGATATGCGCGGATTTTTCTGCGGCATCATTGATTTTTAACCTAGGCCTCTCTAAATCCGTCATAATTAGGTTTTAACCTAGGGCTTAAGCCAATTATGATCGGGCTTAGTTAGTTTGGACCTTAATTCATTTTGTTTTGAGTTAGGCTAGTTATTTTGTATTCTTGTGACTTAATCAGTTGTCCATAAGCATTTCTCACGTTGATCCAACACAAAGATGGTTTTATTTATTGTCATAACACTTCCGATCGGGACAGGAGGCCAAAAGTAGATGTCTCCCCTTATGTACTCTCGGACACGTCCAAGAATTAATGCATTAGCCTCGCTTCCCCTAAAAAAAATGTTATTATTTTAGTTGAATTAGGGCTTGTTTGGTTCACCTTATTTTTGCTTATCTAAACTTATCTGATCTTGATTGTTTAATTTGACAAAATTTTAACCTTAAATATAAGATAATTATAAGAAAAAATATATATTAAGTGGTGTCTTGTTAGCTTTGTAATAATGTGTATTTTATTAACATGTAATTTTCATAATTTTTTTCATTACGAAATTATAGCGATAAAAAACTGCACATAAAGCGATGCTCTGATCTAAACTTATTGTTTCTTATATGATCTGGTCTGAACTTATTTTTTCAGATCTAGTCTGAACTTATTTTTTCAAAAAAAAGTAAAAATTAGATGAACTAACAAGGCCTTAGACATAATGTATAATATATCAAACTTACAAAGAATAACAATAACAAAGTACTCAGCAGAGAATATAGGTTCACTTGCAAAAGCACATGCTTATATTCTACACTTTTAACACTTGACATGAGAGTGTATACATACAAGTTACATTCGTGGCGGCGGCATGTACATTATCTTTCATCTAACCAACAAAATGTAGCAGAAAAAATACAGATTTGGGAACGAAAATGAAGAAAGAGGAGCTACATAGGAGAGTGAAAACTTATACATCCTTTTCTTTTTCTTTTTCTCTTTTCTTCTTTTTGTGGATAAATAAAAAATAAAAAAAAAACCAAAAAAAACAAAGAAAAAAAAAATTACACTTAAACAACATATATGGACACCCATTTCATGGATTTTGGCACCAAAGATGGCAACTTACTCGCATGCAAGTTTCGTACCAAAACTTGTTAGGCAAATTGCAAATGCTTGGAAGGCTGAAAGTGGCTGGCGATAATCCATGGTAAAAGTATCATCTCCTACTTTTCCAAACTGGAGGAGAACTACCTCTTCATCACCTTTTCCACCTGGTTGGCTTTGATCCACTATCGCTACAAGTTGAAAGTTCTTGACCGAAGCTACCGTTACCCGGCCATGAAAATTCAAGCACCAGCATTGCAAGTGCTCATGCCACCTTGGAGCTTTGTTCCTCAGAACAGTGTAACTAGAATCCAGCTCTGCTAACTTAGTTTTGGCATCCTCTGTCTGATCCAAAATGGTCCCCGTCGGCCCAGGGCATTTAAGGGAGCAAATCATCCTTCTGGGACCTCTTGATTTCAAGAGGTTAAACTTGTATGAAACTTGCCCGACTTCAAAATTCCCAGCAGAAACTTGGGGGCTTATCTGTTTGCTAGCAAACCGACGAGTTGATCTGCTACTTGATGGTTTTGCTCCATCATGGGGTGGCTGGCTATCATATATTGTGAAGTTTGTACCAAGAAAATCTGAACTGCAAATTGAAATTAATATGAGAATGCAAACCCCTGAAAACATGAGCCAATCAGCATTGAAGGTTGCGCCTTCATCAAACACTTAACTTACTGAACATAGATAGGCAAGAGTTCTACTAATTAAATCAAGTGCAAGTGTTACACTCTAGATATAGAATTATAGATATATGGAGTATGATGACATCTTAATATTAAACCATTGCACTAAAAGACACAGAGTGAGAGACATAAGTACATAGAATTCCTTAAGGTTGGCTGAACTAGTTGGGAATCTTTAGTCTCTCCATGAAAAAAATCCCAACTAATCATCCCTAAAAAGCTCAAAGAGCACGTGAAAATATTATGTGGTTTATCTGACAATCTGAAAATGACAAAATTAATAAAGCAATAATAGTATAATAAAGTGAATTAATTTGCACTTCTGTGGACCTGACAGTCTTACAAGACTACACGTCCCCCGCCTTTGTCCACCAAGTTACTTCTAGATATCTCTCTCTCTATCTAATTTGGAATTCATCACTTGGCATAAGCAGTTGGGTAGAGTAATAAATTGTCCAAACAAACATATAATAAATTCTGACTTCACAGCAAAACAAAATTCACAATATAGAAACCATACCTTAATTTCCCAACATATGCTTGACTTCCTTGTGATAGGTCATCGACATCAAGTGATATGATATACTCAGTGTGGGCACCACGTCTATATCTCCTTGCAGCTAAGAGGAATTTCCCCTTTTCTGAAAATGCTGCAATCAAGATATACAATCAGCAACAGCCAAAATTGATAACGCAGTATTGGACAAGGACATACTCCAAATCAGCCACATAAACAAGTAGGTTGGTAGGAGTAATTGCGCCAACTAAGTGCAAGATTTAGTTAGAAATCAAAACTGGAATAGAGGAGTTCGAGGGGGGGGGGGGGAAGTGAAATTTAAGCTTAAAGACATTATCTTCTGAACCATGTTCAGTTAACAGCCCAAAGTACATGAGCCAACTCATATTAAAAAAGGGGAAAGCAGTGTTTCACATTCTGTTTTCTGTAAGCATAATTTGCTAAAATCTTCAGAAACAATCACCAGCACATTTTTAATCATTTCCAGGGACTTCAAAATCTGTTGGATACATTTTTCGCAATAGCATGTAAGAAAAAAATATAAATTAGTCTCAACACTTGATTAAAAAATCTTTGACAACAGCATGAGACTGCCTGCAGGCTTATGAGCATAAAATTGATTGAAAACACCTATTCCATAAGTTGTTTCCACACTCCAATGAATAACTAAATGAAAAAATTGGCTACAAATAATTAACTGCATACTAAACATATAATTTCAAGAAACTGAAAAAATATAAATAAAAATTCCCATATCTACTAGATCAAGGTGCCGTATTTCCTTACATGATGGTGATACAGAGAGATAGAGATAGAACGTAGAGTTTTTCTTGTCCCGCTTTATGAGACATTGAAGTGGGTTTTCACGTGGCCCTGGCTGCACCAGTCAGAAACCATTCACGGAATCAGTAAGAAACACCTGACTTGTAAACAAGTATGGATACATATATATATGAGCAACAAACAATATAATGGAGCACAGGCACAGCTCATAAATAATCTACAGAAAGTAGAGCATAAACTCAGCGTAACCATGTCTAGAAAAGACCCTAACCATATAGAGTCATAAACCAGAGAACATGAGGATTGAGAAAGAGTCAAATCAAGTTTTCCTAAACTTGTAGGCTTAATAAATAAAATGGTTGCCTCAGTTATGTATCTAAGAGGCAACGTTAAACTTTATGATGGTAATGTATGGTATATAGTTGTCACAAGTTCACAACTCTAAAAAGAAACAGCAATTATTTCCGGTTCTCACAGCTCCAAAAAGGGCACAATTTCAACAAGTTAGTGATATGAAAAATATAACTTATAAAGTAATAGACACTACTTCCTGTTGAATGTTTTTGGATAGATTGGTCTTTCAGATCTCAACATCAAGTATAAGAAGTTAGACATTGTCAAATGTCTAAAACCACTAAAAACCTCTAAGGTCCAACATCTAGAAGCTTGCTAACGGCAAAAGTAACAATATCGTGTTTAATAATAGTAGATGAGGAATTAATTAATGAAAAAAGTGACAATTTAACTTCTCCAAAGCATAGTCTCAACCTATAGAAGTTACATTAAAGCCATTTTCACATTTGACAGAGTTTATGATTATGTGGAACTCCAGAAGCTACTTGTAAAGTGTTTCCAAACAGAACCTAATATTTTGCTGAAAGTAGATAATTTTCAAATTTGCTTAAATTTTATATAAATTCTGAATATATTTGTGCTAAATTAATATTAAAGCATACAGGTGTTGTTTCAGTTGCACAAAACAATGGGGTTATTAAAAATTCATGTGAAATTGGAAATAGAGGGCTTGTTTGGTAGACCATAAAATGTGAGAATGTGGGAAGTGCAAATTCATGGAAATTTCCAATTCCACAAAACATGGGATTATATTACCAAGTTCTCCCTTAGAGACTTGAAGTTCCCATGATTTGTAAAAACCTATATAACAACCAATCTAGTTAAGTTAATTCCTAGGAAATTTGATGTGGGATTTTAATACCCATGAAATACATATGCCTATAGGAAATTAATTCTTATGTCAACCAAACAATACCTATGTACTTCCATAGCCAGCAATATTGTCTTTTTTACTATGATACAATAAAAGGGTTTGAATGTTTGAAAATAAGAATATCATATTGAAACAAAAAGAATACTCTTTTTAAGGTCTCCTCTACACCTACGCTACTCCAACGATGTGATTTTATCATGGCATACGGAAGATTCAAGTATTGAAAAACTTTGCTCCATTATCCAAAATTGTAAAATGGCAGGTCCACATTTGCTCAAGCAAATGGTAACATTGCAAACCAGACAACATTGCATAAACATTTACATCCAAGATTTAAAAAAGCTCACTAATAATTTGGGGAAGAAGCAGAAGACAACATTAGAGAAAGTTGAAATTAAGTCATCATCAACGCTAAAGCTCCTACTACAATATTTCATACAGTACAAGTGGCAGCAACGTAACTCTTCAAGGAAAAATTGGCTACAGAAATCTGAAAACGGTTACGTTTATTTTATATGTTTCCCATCATTCCCTAAGCAACTATCAATATTCAATAGTCAATATACCACAATGGTCCACAAATGAAAATAACAACTTTCAAACTACAACCAAACTTAAACTCGAAACTTGAGTGCAAAAGCAACCACTCTAAAATCGCCCTCTTGATCTCTCCCTGGTAACCGTATTCACCATCGACATCAAGGGATAACAACGGAATAAATACCCAACAACGCCAATAGCCCTAAAAAGCTGAGATTAATAATAGGATCTTGCTAACAAACGCCCTAGGGGCGTTGGATAAGCATTTAAAATATCACCTAAAGTGGTATTAATTTGGGAAAGCATGACAAAATCACGCGTTGATCGGTGTAACTAATGTTAATTTTTAATTTAATGTTTCTTCTTTTAGCTAGCTTATCCAAGCCGTTCATTAGCTTTTGCCTTAACAATAATAGTTAAAACTTAGGATATCAAGCTACGACTACTCTTTCATTAGTTTAAGAGTCACACCCAATTAGCTCAAAAAAGATCATCCCTCTTTATAGTCCAATGTCTCCTATCTAGTCATTAAATTTGGTATCAACAGGCACTGTAAACCGCAGAGTTCCTTTACAAATTCGGCAAAAAACCGCTCCATTAGCCGAAACCAAACCTAAATAAACACCAAGTCTACCCCAACCATTCGTTTGATGTAACAAGTCAAGTTTCGAGTTTTCGGCTTTCTTCAGTCAAAAATTCACACCCATTAGCTTAAAACGATCACCCATCTTACTAACCCCCTCAATTTTGTAAACTAATCTCCAAAACAGGAAATTACTTACAAAAATCAAACTCCACTTTCCGAAAAAAAAACCTCAAAATGGTAACAATAAAACAATACATTTCTCCAATTAAATCGTCAACAAATTAACAATATACTAAATTAATCAAAACAATAACAATATAAACAAAATCCAACAAAACAAAATTAACAGAACTCCACATTTCGCCTAAAATCAAACAATTTAATTCAACAACCCAAATTCAAAAATCAAACAAAAATGAAAAATAAAATTAACCTGCTTAAGGCAAGAAGGAAAGGTGATCTTAGCAGTAGAAAGAGGAGACTTAACAATCTCCCTCGTAACATCCCTCCATCTCTTACAAACACAAGCACAAACGACGACGTTTCGACGAAGCGGCCATTTATCTTCAGTAGATTCAACGCGAGCTATGATATCCGCCAACAACTCCGGAAATAAAGTCGACCATCTCCCACCGTCGGATTCATCGCCGGAGTTGTGGTGGTTTCCGGCGTCGAGCGAGAAGGAGGTGGTTGACGGTGACTCACGGTGAGATTTGGAGGAGAGAGAAAAACAACGGATTGAAGAAGAACGACGTGAGAGGAATGATCTAGTGAGAGACATCAGCAATGGAGGAAGAGGATGATCATGGAGGAGAGAGAAAATGGGAGAATTTGTAGAGAGAGAAAATGGGGAAATGTAGAAAGAGAAAGAAAGAGAGAGAGAGTCAGAGAGTAAGAATTTTGGGGCTGAGACTTGGGAAGAGAGGGATGATGGGAGGGTGAGGTGATAGAGTTTTTGGGTAACCGTCAATTTTAATCTTTGGACTTTGGTGTTAGATGAGAAACTTTGGAGAGAAGAAAGATTTTTTTGGTGGGAGAATTCATTTTTTTCTTTTAAAAAAAATAAAAAAATTCCTCAAAAAAATAGTACTCCACTCCGTATGGAATTTTTTTATGGTGGTTTGGTGAATTTGTTCTTGGAATATGATGGATAGAGATGTGCATGAATTTGTGTGATTGGAAAGTGTATAGATTTGAAAATTTCTAAATGAATTCATTAAAGAATTTTAATGTATTTTGTCTTAGGTTTTTTAATTAAATAGGGATGTTCATAATTTTGATTAAAATCGAAATTTAATTTAATCTAAACCGAATTATCAATTCGGATCAGATTCGAACTTTAAATCGAATCGGATCGGATTGAGAATTTTTAAAATTTGGATTTTCGGATCGAATCGAATTAGCATGTAAGAATATGGACTCAAATATGGATTATGGACTGCATGTTGTCTTAAAATGATGCTGCTACCCATTGTTGAAAGTTATTGGCCCTAACATACTAAAATTTCTTACTTGCTGCTCATATTTGCCTATTTGGTGCATGTTGTTAAGATTGTAATGGTGTTTTCTTATGGGTGTACTAATGTTATTGAACAATTATTTTATATAATCCGATTATTTTCGAAATTTATATTAATATTAAGGCTAGGACAAGTGTGATTATTATAATTGCATTTATATTAACTTTTATTATTGTACGAGTCTATTAGATGCTAAAAATAAAAGTTTTAATTCGGATTTTTGGATCAGATCCAAATAGCCAAATTTTAATTCTGATTGGATTAGAAAAGTAGTTCGGATTGGATCGTATTGAAAAATTGAAAACCGAATTATATTTTGGATAGGACTGGATTTGGCCTAAATTCAAACCGAAAACCGAACGGACACCCCTAGAATTAAATGAGGGTAAAGGGTGATTCTTTTTTTAATTTATCAATCATTATACACTTTAGCTGTAATAATTTAGTCCTTTATTTTTTAATAATTAAAAAATAAGTCATCCCCTTCCTTCTTCCCATCCCTGGCTAAAACTAGTCCCCCTCACCATGGCTACCCCACTTCCCCGCCGAAGCCAACCCTAGCCTTTTCCTCACTGACTAACCCTACCCCTTTTACCACCAAACTAAACACAATCTAGCCCCCATTCCCTTTCCTATTCTTCCATTGAAGCATACTCCAAGTTATTATTCTCCATTAGAGTGGCATGTAAGCTTTCCCTCATCCAAATAAGCGACCGGGTGACAGTTCATTTCGATTCAAGGGTGGGAGTGAGGGAGGGAGTTCAATTTAAGTGGGGCTTTGTGGGTGGTTAGGTGAGAGGTGGTGGGATTTCACGTGGCTCAAATAGGGTTTCACAAGGCTCATGAGTCATGTAAGAGGCGGTAGGGTTTTACGTGGCTTTAGTGGGGTTTCGAGAGGCTTAGGTCAAAAGGTGGGATTGGGTGGGGTCAAAACTGGGGTTTGCGAGAGGGCCAACTACTAGGGTTGAAAGGTTGCAGTTTTAAGTGGTTAGGTGGGAGGTTCAGGTGGGTATCAGTGGTCATTTGAGAAGGACAAAGTTGGAGTTCTGTGGTCATGTGAGAAGAGCAGGGTTGGTAAAGTTGGGGTTTCAGGTAGGGGTCAAGTGATGGTCGTTTATTGTGGGTTTGCCATTGAAGAGGTAGGTTGGCTTGGGAAGGTGGGAGGTAAGAGGAGCAACTAGTCCAATGTTTAAAACTAATTCAATACAATTCAATATATTTGATTGACTCAATTAATTGCTCATATTAATTTACACATCTATTTGATAATTAAATAAATAATTTATATATATATATATATATTATATATATAATATTAAAGCCTCGTTTACTTTGCCTTCTTTTTACTGAACTAAAATTATTTTTACTGAATTGAAATTAATTTTACTGAACTTAAATATTTTTGTTGAACTGAAATTAATTTTACTGATTTTCTATTATATTTCTTCTTTATAGTTACTGAATTTTACTTAAGTGAAATTATTTTTACTAAATTGAAATTATTTTTACCGAACTGAACTTATTTTCACTAAACTGAAATTAATTTTACTTAATATTATTATTTTTTTAGGTGAAGAGAACAGAAAGTGAACAGGGCCTAAGGGTCTTTTCTCTTTCGCTTAATTTCAATTCAATTCAGTTTAGTTCAGCTTCAATTAGTTCAATTCATTTCTTAATTTTCTTCTCTCATAAAATATTCATTTCAGCTTTATTCAGTTCAGTTTAGTTTAGTTCAATTGAGCTCTTATCAGTTAAATTTAGTTTAGTTCTATTCAATAAATTAGAACATGCCCTGACTCTAATTCTATATATGTTATCATGTAGCAAACAAATTCTTTAAATTGTATGTAGTTGGATTTTATATTGGACAATTTGTTCAAATTTAAGAAATAAGTCATTTCCTACATACGAGTATATCGATACCCATTTACTAAAAGACACGCCTGCAATGAAACGTGTAATATTATGGTGTGTCCTTAATAGATTCAATAATAGAAAACTTTTTAAAAATTGATATAGAATATATGCAAAAGTTTTCTTTTAAAATTTCGGAAAAAAAAAGTTATATATATTATATTTACCAACTTTGATATCTAACCATAAATTAATATAAATTCCAATATAAGTAATTACTTTTTAATGTAATTATAAATTCCTACATAAGTAGTTACTTTCAAATGTATAATGATTATTTATAGTAATAACAAAATCATGAATATATAACTTTCAACCTACCATGTATAATTGGTGAATGAAAAATTACTAAATGTGAAATTAAATAAAATTAAAAAAAATATGTCATCATCAAGGTTCAAAATAGAAGAAATCTTGAATAAAAAAATATGCTATATTATGTAGTCATAAAAGATAAAAAAAAAAAAATACTTTGCAATATTTTATGGACCAAATTATTTTGTATATTTAAATATAGTTTTAAATTGATACTTCGTATTTGTAAAAAAAAAAAAAAATTAAAAAATATTGATACTCTGTAACAAAGAGTGAAAAACTAACCTATTATTTAAAATGTATATAAGTAAATATCAAAACCTAAATATGTTAGTTCGGAAATTACCCTGGTGGAGGGAAATGCAAAATAAAGGGAAAAAGGGGGTTTAAAGTAGGGTGGTTTTAATAGCACATGCCTTTCATGTGACCAAGTCAATGCCGGAATATTAGGTCAATGTTCAGAAAATTAGATAAGGCTGTGTTCTAGCAAAAAAAAAAAAAAAAAAAAAAAAAAAAAAAAAAAAAAAAAATTAATAATAAGGAGTGTTTCTAAAATAATAATAATAAATTCCAATATAATAATTCCAATATAATAATTATTCCAATATAAATAATAATAAGGTGTGGTATTCGTCTTATAGCTGTGGGTACTATGTGGCGGCGACTGATTTCAAAGGTGGGTGTTTTTATGGTTGGTTAGTCTTTAGGAAGTTACTTTGATGGTCTTCAATTTGGCGTTGGGGTTTTTTCAGGTAGTAAGGCAATTATTCATGCTGTGAATCGATTGATTGAGGATCGTGGTTATGAGGTTGGTCTTTCTATGTTATTGGTGGATATTCAAAATGCCTTCAATCTTGTTGATCGAACGAGCATGTTGCATGAAGTTTGTCGTCGTTGTCCGGGGATTTTGCGATGGGTTGAATTATGCTATTCAAATCCAGCCAGATTGTATTATGGGGACCAATCCTTATGGTCGTGTCAGGGGGTGCAGCAGGGTGATCCCCTTGGCCCTCTACTTTTTGCTTTGGTTTTACAGCCCCTGGTTTGTAAAATTAAAGATTCTTTTGAATTATGTCTTCAGGCATGGTATTTGGATGATGGCACTATTACTGGTGACACTTTGGTGGTGGGGAGGAATCTAGAGTTGATCATGGAGGAAGAGCCTTTTTTTGGGTTACATCCTAGTGTGGAAAGAACTGAAGTTTTCTGGCCTTTAAAGGATCCTCAAAGCAGGCTTGTGGGTGTCTTTCTGCCTACTATTGCTCGACCTTCACATGGTGTTAAGTTGCTTGGTGGTCCAGCTAGTTATGATCCCGATTTTGGAGGTGACCTTGTGATACAGGGCAAGACCATTGTTGTAATGGGGAGGGTTGCTAAGCTCGATGATCCCTAGTGTGAGTTGTTGTTGCTTAGGGCATGTATCGGAGTTTCTAAACTCTACTTTGCTTTGAGTACTTGTCCTCCTAGTACTTTTGAGGTAGCTCAGCGCACTTTCGACGAGGCTCTTTGATATGTCCATTTTATATAGTAATTTACCCCCGTCCCTTGGTCATAATTAGTAGTGTTTTTGGCTCTTTCGAGCCACTTTTATTGCTAATTGGTGTTTTCTAGTGTTTTCATAGTCTTTGTTGAGTTTGGTAGGAAATTGCACCTTTGGAGCATTTTCTCGGGTTTTTCATGGAGCGACTACGGAAACTAGAAGAGCACGACCATCTTTGAATCCCAAGGCCGGTTAGAGTCATCGAGCCGGTGATTAAGGGCTCAGTAATCGGGATACCGAGGTATTTAGACCGAGTATTCAAGAACCGAAGAGGAAATTCGGATTGGGCCGAGGAATCAAGCCCAATCGAAATCCAAGCCTCGAAGAGAAGCAAGGACCCAATCGGGCAAGCATTAGCTCGATCGGGCGCGGCGTGCAACTTTGGTGCTGGTGCGTGGCCTAAGGCGCGCCCGATCATGCGAGCATTTAGCTCGATCGGGCGTTGCTGCTGAGAAGGGGCGCGAGGAAAAAGGCGCGCCCGATCGGGCGGCCTCTAGCCCGATCGGATGCGTGTTTCTGGAAGACTTTGTTAGACGAACACTTAGTTTCTAATTAGGAGTTGTTTAGTTTGTTGTTTAAGTACGTTTTTGGACGGTTATTACTCACTTACCTTCGTTTTTTAGATTTTCTCTCTCTACTGAGGATATTTCTCTCTCTTAAATTCTCTCTCAACTTTTGTCTTAATTACTTTCATAATTCCAGATTTATTTTGGTAACTATTTCTCTTCTCTTAATCTTAGTTGTTTATTTTATTCCTTTTATTATGTTTTGTTTTATTT